AGGGAGAAGGTAGAGGCCGCGGTGAGCAGGGAGAAGGTAGAGGCCGCGGTGAGCAGGGAGAAGGTAGAGGCCGCGGTGAGCAGGGAGAAGGCAGAGGCCGGGGTCAGCAGGGAGAAGGTAGAGGCCGCGGTGAGCAGGGAGAAGGCAGAGGCCGCGGTGAGCAGGGAGAAGGTAGAGGCCGCGGTGAGCAGGGAGAAGGCAGAGGCCGCGGTGAGCAGGGAGAAGGCAGAGGCCGCGGTCAGCAGGGAGAAGGTAGAGGCCGCGGTCGGCAGGGAGAAGGTAGAGGCTGCGGTGAGCAGGGAGAAGGCAGAGGCCGGGGTCAGCAGGGAGAAGGTAGAGGCCGCGGTCGGCAGGGAGAAGGTAGAGGCCGCGGTGAGCAGGGAGAAGGCAGAGGCCGGGGTCAGCAGGGAGAAGGTAGAGGCCGCGGTCAGCAGGGAGAAGGTAGAGGCCGCGGTCGGCAGGGAGAAGGTAGAGGCCGCGGTCAGCAGGGAGAAGGTAGAGGCCGCGGTGAGCAGGGAGAAGGCAGAGGCCGCGGTCAGCAGGGAGAAGGCAGAGGCCGCGGTGAGCAGGGAGAAGGTAGAGGCCGCGGTGAGCAGGGAGAAGGCAGAGGCCGCGGTGAGCAGGGAGAAGGTAGAGGCCGCGGTGAGCAGGGAGAAGGTAGAGGCCGCGGTGAGCAGGGAGAAGGTAGAGGCCGCGGTGAGCAGGGAGAAGGTAGAGGCCGCGGTGAGCAGGGAGAAGGTAGAGGCCGCGGTGAGCAGGGAGAAGGTAGAGGCCGCGGTGAGCAGGGAGAAGGCAGAGGCCGGGGTCAGCAGGGAGAAGGTAGAGGCCGCGGTGAGCAGGGAGAAGGCAGAGGCCGGGGTCAGCAGGGAGAAGGTAGAGGCCGCGGTGAGCAGGGAGAAGGCAGAGGCCGCGGTGAGCAGGGAGAAGGTAGAGGCCGCGGTGAGCAGGGAGAAGGTAGAGGCCGCGGTGAGCAGGGAGAAGGTAGAGGCCGCGGTGAGCAGGGAGAAGGTAGAGGCCGCGGTGAGCAGGGAGAAGGTAGAGGCCGCGGTGAGCAGGGAGAAGGCAGAGGCCGGGGTCAGCAGGGAGAAGGTAGAGGCCGCGGTGAGCAGGGAGAAGGCAGAGGCCGGGGTCAGCAGGGAGAAGGTAGAGGCCGCGGTCGGCAGGGAGAAGGTAGAGGCCGCGGTGAGCAGGGAGAAGGCAGAGGCCGGGGTCAGCAGGGAGAAGGTAGAGGCCGCGGTCGGCAGGGAGAAGGTAGAGGCTGCGGTGAGCAGGGAGAAGGCAGAGGCCGGGGTCAGCAGGGAGAAGGTAGAGGCCGCGGTCGGCAGGGAGAAGGTAGAGGCCGCGGTGAGCAGGGAGAAGGCAGAGGCCGGGGTCAGCAGGGAGAAGGTAGAGGCCGCGGTCAGCAGGGAGAAGGTAGAGGCCGCGGTGAGCAGGGAGAAGGCAGAGGCCGCGGTGAGCAGGGAGAAGGTAGAGGCCGCGGTGAGCAGGGAGAAGGCAGAGGCCGCGGTGAGCAGGGAGAAGGCAGAGGCCGCGGTCAGCAGGGAGAAGGTAGAGGCCGCGGTCGGCAGGGAGAAGGTAGAGGCTGCGGTGAGCAGGGAGAAGGCAGAGGCCGGGGTGAGCAGGGAGAAGGTAGAGGCCGCGGTCGGCAGGGAGAAGGTAGAGGCCGCGGTGAGCAGGGAGAAGGCAGAGGCCGGGGTCAGCAGGGAGAAGGTAGAGGCCGCGGTCAGCAGGGAGAAGGTAGAGGCCGCGGTCGGCAGGGAGAAGGTAGAGGCCGCGGTCAGCAGGGAGAAGGTAGAGGCCGCGGTGAGCAGGCTGGGCAAGGGCCAGATCACCCAGGTCCTTGTGAGTGGTAAAAAAAAAAAACAACTTAAAATAGGAATAAAAATAACAGAATCATGATTATTACCGCTGCTATAAATAAGACACCACTTTCCAAAACACGGAGCCTTTCTAAGTGCAGCTGTGGCTCTCCTCCCGTTTTTTCCACCTTCCCCGGCCTGTCATGGTGCTGGGCCGAAGGTGCCAAGCCCGTTTTAGTAGATGCTATAAAAAGAGCAGCAGAGCTAGTGGTGATGAGCAAACCCCGGGCTAAGATTAGCTGCTGGGCGGGCCTCGCCCTCCTAATGGGAAGAGCAGCTGGGATTCCCCGGCGGAGGACGGGCTGTGCTGCCCCGCCTGCAGCCCCGGCCCCAGGCCAAGTGTCCATGGAGACCCGATGGGCACAGGCTGCGTTTTGGAAAAAAACGAAGTTGAGCTATGGGGGTTCCCTGTGGAGGGCGGGAGGGAGCCCGTGGGGTCAAAAGAGCAGGCTGAGCACCCTATAAACCCAAGGGGGGCCTGGGCGGAGCTCCGGGCAGTCCCGTGTCACAGGGGAGCATCCTCGGGGAGACCCCCTCGGTGCCCACCTGAGACCTCTCTGGAACTCACAGAGCCAGAGGGCATCAGGCACATGTGCCTGATTCTGAGCTTCTTGGAGGGGGCAGAACGGCGAAGGCCCAGCGCAGACTCCCACGGCGGCCACGCTGCGCTGCGGGAGTGGAGCCACACAGGCAAACTGACCATCTGCTGTGCGGGGCGTCAGATTCTTTCCCGCGTATAAGGCGCTCAGAGAGAGGGCTGGGCCCGTGGTTTATTTTTTGTGTGATGGCCTTTTATTTCATTTTTTTTAAAAGTTCTTAGCAAAGGCTTATTTATTAAGAGAGAGAAACTAGGAGGGAAAAAACAAGAATGTCCTCCCCCAAAGGGGGGGAGGGTGGAGCGGTAGAGGGGCTCCACGCCCGGGTCTGGGTGTGCCCCTCCCCACAGGGGACCCCACGCACGGTCCTGGACACGCAGTCTCTGTGCCTGGGCTGGTTATTACGTTGTAAGCTCGCCTGGCGCCATGGGGCTGACGCTGCACTTCCACACTCACAAGCACAACACTGCCGCAGAAAGCAAACACGTGCGGGCATTTTCCACGTGCCAAACCCTGTCCGTGTGAAAAGCCAGCCTGCACCTGTGCGGCCCATCTCTGCATTGAACCGGAGGGAGCGTGGGCTCAGAGAGGGGCAGTGACCTGCCCCAGGTGGTACAGCGACTACCACCTGAGCGCCTCGGTGTAGGAGGGTGGCCCCATCCTGCCCAGCCCCTCTGCACCCACACCACTTCCCCTGCACTGCAACGCTCAGTGGTTGACATGAATGACAAGGGCAAACCTTGACACTCAGCTCCCGCCTCCAAGTGCCAGAATGCTGCAGCAGCGCCTGCCCTCGCTGCCTGGCCCGTAGCCGGAACTGGGAACCTCTTTCCATGGCAGAGAAATGTGAAGTATTGATTAATACTGCATTTCGCCAGGATTGTTTTTTTTTTTTTGGGGGGGGGTCCGGTCATGGGGCCTGAACTCTGGGCCTGGGCGCTGTCCCTGAGCTCTTCAGCTGAAGGCTAGCGCTCTACCACTTAGCCACAGCACCACTTCCGGCTTTTTTTCTTTTTGCTTATATGGTGCTGAAGAATCGAACCCAGGGCCTCAGGCATGCAAGGCAAGCGCTCTACCACTGAGCTACCTTCCCAGCCCAGGACTGTTTTACGGGGGAAAAACAAACAAACACGGCATTTCTGGAATGAGATGAGCCATGGTGGAAGTTTCAGCTGCAGATTCTGGAGAAGAGTTTAGTCCAACATTCCTAAAGCCTCCAAGTGACTAGAATTCTACTGCTAGGAATCAACCCTGCATAAGCAAAAAAGTACAAATACAGATGCGCGCTTCACAAGACTAGTGAATCCCAAAAGTGTAAGAAGACTGATTGCAGAACTGCTTATAATAAAAACACAAGTGGTGCCAGGTTTATGGCTTGCACTTGCAATCCCAGCTACTCAGGGGGTAGAGACAGGAAGATCACAGGCTCAGGGCCACGCCAGTGAATGTTAGCAAATGCCATCTCAAAGACAAAATATACAGCTGGGTGCCAGTGGCTCACGCTTGTAATCCCAGCTACTCAAAAGGCTGAAGTCTGAGGATCCAGGTTTGAAGCAGGCAAGTTTGCAAAACTCTTATTTCTAATTAACCAGCAAAAAGCTGGGAGTGAAGGTATGGATCAAGTGTGAGATCCTGAATTCAAGCCCTGACATTGGAAAAAAAAAAACAACCCACAAAACATAAACAACAACCAACCAACCAACCAAAATTATAAACAAAAGGGCTAGGGTTGTGGCACACGCCATGGAGTGCTTGCCTAGCATTCAGGAGGGCTGGGGTTCCATCCCCAGCACCACAGAAAACAATCAAACCACCAAAAGTGCATCAGAAGCAAAGTGTATGGGTGCACAGTGTTCTCTATGCTCTTACAATTACTCAACATGTAACTCATTGAACCCGCAAGACAACACGGCAGGGTAAGATTTCCACAGTGAGGACACAGACACAGAAAGAAAAGTTAAACTAACGGCACAGCCAGGATTTGAACCCAGGCTGTTCAGAATGAGAGCATGCTTAACCATTAGGCTATTTGATTCCTCTCTCTTGAACTCAAAACCTGGATGCTGCCCCTGAGCTCTACTGTTCAAAGCCAGCGCTCTACCATTTGAGGCACAGCACCACTTGTGGTTTTACTGGTGGTTCATTGGAGATAAGAATCACACAGACTTTCCTGCTCTGGCTGGCTTTGAACTGTGATCCTCAGATCTGCACATCCTGAGTAGCTATGATTACAGACGTGAGCCACCAACACCCGGCTGACTTCTCTTGTTCACCATAGGAAAAAGGTTTAGAAGTTTTCCTGTGTAGAAAAAGAATAACTACAAGACACAAAGTTAAGGAGGAGGACAGCTTCAGCACCCCCTACCAAGCAGAGTCCTCCATGAACACACACTGCAGCACGGCTGCCGGCGCTGAGCTGACAGGCCACGAGTCGCTGCCCAGTAAGAAAACAAGAGTGGGTGCAAGACCACACCCCGGCTCTGCCACTGGCACCCGCGTGCAACTCCAGTAGACAGACTGGAAAAGATCTCGAAATGCCACTCACCTGTGGTCTTCTCCGTGAACACCACTTTGGACTCGGCCGTGAAGTTCTGCCCCGTGAGGATCATCTGCTGGCCACCGTAGACCAGGCAGCCATCCATGTCCTGTCTCTCCACCATGGGCAGCTCATGGGCAGACCGCTGGGCTGAGGCCGAGAGAGAGAGAGAGAGAGAGAGAGAGAGAGAGAGAGAGAGAGAGAGTCACCCCCTGCTCACAGAGGCAGCCTGAGCTCACTACCGAGGCACACCTGCTCTGTCCCCTTGTCCTCCATCATCCCAAGTGGGGAGAAGGAGGGATCCTGCTCCTGCTGGTCCTGGGGCTTGAACTTGGGGCCTGGGCGCTATCCCTGAGCTTCTCTCTCAAGGTTAGTACTTTATTACTTGAACCACAGCTCTACTTCTGACTTTTGGGAGGTTCATGAGAGAGAAGAGTCTCATGGACTTTCCTGCTTGAGCTGGCCTCAAGCCTCCATCCTCCGGTCAAGGCTGCCTCTGTTACAGTTGGCACTTGTCTGCCCACACATGCAGGCACCATGCACGGTAAACTTCAGAGCCATTGCTGCAAGATCACATGCCCTTGCCGTGCCACCGCGTAGCCCTCAATGGGGTCTGGAAGCCACGGAATCTGCACCATAACCCACCAGAATTCCAGAACATGCTCACTTGACACTCCGCTCAGGCTTTGTCTTGAGTATATGCCCTCCCTGGCTGCTTCTTCCCCTTTTGATACACTGCCCAGAGCTTTGCTTGAACTTCTCTCCCTCCATTAGGGAGGGGAGGGCCTGGCCTTTGTGCAAGTCTGTGTGGGTGAGCCTAGGCCAGGCTGGGAGAGGGTAGGTGTGTAGGTGTGTGCGTGTGTGCGCCCGCATGCGCTATAGCTAGCTCCCCCCAGGTCTGTACATCCACACCTACAGTGACTGAAAGATGGAGGAATGGCAGAGGCCTTTGCTAAGCACTGGGCAGAAGATGCTTGAACACCACAGCAGCCTCTGAGGAAAGAAGCAGTAAAGTCACTCACGCTTGACTGGGAAGAAAACTGAAGCTAAAGGAGCCAGGTCTGTGGCCAGGCTTCGTCTCACTCCCAAGGCCAGCCGCACGGGGCCGTGGGCAGGAAGGTCAGACAGCTGCCTCCCTGGACAGGTGAGTAGCAGGCCCCGCCCCTACAGACCACCCTGCTCTCCTGGACCCCACCTCCCAGACCACGCCTCTTCCGGCCTCCTCGGCCCCGCCCCAAGGCCGTTCCTCACGCCACGCCCCCTCTCCAAGCCACACCCTCTCATTAACCCCCACTTGCCCAGGCCACGCCCGTTCCTGCCACGTCCCCTCCAAGCCCCGCCTTCTCTCCTCAGCCTGGCCAGTCCAGACCGCGCCTCTTCCCTCGGCCCCGCCCCCGGCCCGCCCCGGCCGGCCTGCCGCGCGCTCGCCGTGAGTCAGCCGGCTCCGCGCCTCGGCGCTCCTCCCGGAGCCGGGCCGGGCGCCAGCCTCTCCGTGCCAGCGCCCGCGCACCGCCCCATCCGGGAGCCCAGCGGCAGCCGCGCGAGGCCCCCGGGACCCAGCCTTAACCCTTCCCTGATGGGCTCTCCCCTCTGCCCCGCCGCTGAGCCGCTTGCGGGAGCCCGAGGCTTCCAGATGCTTCTCCACCTTGCAGAGCCGGCGGATGCGTGCGCACGCACACGCCCGACCCGGCTCTGCTCCCGGAGCCCCCCCTCCCCGCGGCTCGCAGCCGCTGCCGGCTCCGGGGCCCTCCGCGGGAGCCCCGCCGTCCTCCCTCCGCGCCGGCTTCCTAACTGAGCTGCCGCCGGCGGAGGCTTGGCGGCAGGGCAAGCGGCGGGGGGCCCCAAGGCCGCCTGCGATGGAGTCGGGGCCCGGCTCCGGCCACCACGTGCTACAGGTGGAAAACCTGAGTCACGGCGGGGGCGGGGCCGGCGGGGCGGGGCCGGCGGGGCGGGGCCGGGAGTCACTGGGCGGGGCGGGGCCGGGAGTCACTGGGCGGGGCGGGGCCGGGAGTCACGGGGCGGGGCCGGCGGGGCGGGGCCGAGAGTCACTGGGCGGGGCCGGCGGGGCGGGGCCGGGAGTCACTGGGCGGGGCCGGCCCCGCCCTCCTCCCCGCAGCCCCGCGCGCTGCACCTGCTACCTGACCGGAAACGGGGCTGCGGGAAGGGGGGTAATGCAGACTTAAAGGGGAAAAGCCGCAAAGCCCGGGCCCGCTTCCCCTACGCCTCATCCACGTTTGCATGCGAGTGTGGGCAGAAGCAGCCATGTGGGGCCCTGGGAGACAGGCAGAGCCTCGGCCTCATTCCCGCACCCCAGGCAGCTGTGGACCTGCGGGCAGCCAGGTGCGCCTGCGCCCCCTCTGCCCCGCTACCTCCTGCCCCCTGCCCTCTGCCCCCTGCCTCCTGCCCTCTGCCTCCTGCCCTCTGCCCCCTGCCCTCTGCCCCCTGCCCCTTGCCCCTCTGCCCCCTACCCCTCTGCCCCCTGCCCCTCTGCCCCCTGCCCCCCTGCCTCCTGCCCTCTGCCTCCTGCCCTCTGCCCCCTGCCCTCTGCCCCCTGCCCCTTGCCCCTCTGCCCCCTACCCCTCTGCCCCCTGCCCCCCTGCCCCTCTGCCTCCTGCCCTCTGCCCCCTGCCCCTCTGCCCCTCTGCCCCCTGCCCCTCTGCCTCCTGCCCTCTGCCCCCTGCCCCCCTGCCCCTCTGCCCCCTGCCCCTCTGCTCCTCTGCCCCCTGCCCCTCTGCCCCCTGCCCCTCTGCCTCCTGCCCTCTGCCTCCTGCCCTCTGCCCCCTGCCCTCTGCCCCCTGCCCCTTGCCCCTCTGCCCCCTGCCCCTCTGCCCCCTGCCCCTCTGCCTCCTGCCCTCTGCCCCCTGCCCCTCTGCCCCCTGCCCTTCTGCCCAGCAGAACCAGAGGGGGAGCTGCAAAGCCCTGACCACTCCACACTCAACACACACACACACACACACACACACACACATACACACACGCAGCCCAGGCCCTCCACGGGGCCCGGTTCTTCACTTTGGCGTGGGACCATAGTGCTTTGTGCCTGGTCTCTACCCTCCAGGTTCAACAGCACGGCCCCCCCCCCCACGGCCCCCAGCCGTGACCACCAAACATGCCCAGATGTCCCCGAGGAGGAGAGTACACACCCAGTCACCCTAGCTGGCAGCCAAAGTCAAGTGATTCTGAAAGGGTCTGAGGGGCGGGCTTTTTTTTTTTTTTTTTAGGAAAAGCAGTTTGGATGGTTCGTGGGGGCCACGGGCAGCCTGGAGTCTGGCTCCATGATTGAAGGGTGGTACCACGCAGGGACACAGGGAGCAGGAGACACCCATGGGATCAAAAGGCCATGGTTTCCAGAGCTTGCTGTGTGACCCTGGAAAAGTCGCTTCACTTCTCAGTTATATGTCTCCTCTGTTAAAACTGCAATTGTACCAGAGTCTGCTCCACACAGTCCTGGATGGTCACAGGTCAAAATGCGGCTATGATCAGCTCTAACGTCAACACAAACACCCTCGGAGGGATAAGTGGGTTTCTGTTTATGGTGATGAAAATGTTCTAGAATTAGTGATGGTACTTGGTGCTGCTGAATTCCACACATTCAGGTGGATCAAATGGTCAGTTGTGTGGTGTGTTTTCTGACATGGTTTACAAAAAAGGATCTGCTAGTTGGTGACACCCCGCTGGCGGTGCCTGGGCCTGGTCGCCCCTCTGGAAGCTGGCTTCCTTCTTAGAGCCCACGCCCTTGGCCCCTGCTGGCTGCGCTTCTCAGGGATCCCAGGGATCCCGAGCTATCCAGGGTTCCTGTCCCCGGACATGGCCCTGGGCAGGTCCCCCATTCCTCAGCCTGGAGGCAAAGCCAGCGGGTCCATGAAGCCCCTGGAAGAGGAACCCGGGAGGGGGCAGGGCAGCCCCAGGGTCTGTCTGAAGCAACTTCTACCACCTATGGCTGCTGATTCAGGAGACAGGCCAGGGCCTGGGGGAGGGCCAGGCCTACTCCCACCCCTCCCCCTCAGTCCGGCCCAGCTCTGCAAGCGTGTGGGGATTCCGGAAGTTTCCTCGCTCAGCCCTGGGCTTGGCAGTCTGGCTGGGACGTGTGCGGATGTCTGCAGCCCAGCTCCTGCCTAAGCTCTGCGGTGGCCTGGCAGCGTGCCCCCCCCCCCTCCTGGCGCATCAGAATGTGGCTGGGGGCAGGAGGAGGGCCTCTCATATTTTCTCCGCTTTGAAAGTGCAGGCGTTCTTGGCTACACCGCCTGACGGCACGGTGCGTGCAGCACGCATGCTCCAGCGAGACGCCCCAGCCCGGGGACACTCACTCCACAAGCCGACGCCAGGAGCCCCACCCCTCCTCCCCTACCCCCACCCCCAGAAGAAAACCTGACACAATCTCCCTGCTGCCTTCAGACAGGAAAAGAAAAAGGATGCCAGGCACCGTCAGCTCACGCCTGTCATCCTAGATGCTCAGGAAGCTGAGATCTGAGGGTCACGGTTCAAAGCCAGCCTGGGCAGGAAAGTCCGTGAGACTCTTATCTCCAATGAACCACCAGAAAACCCGAAGTGGTGCTGTGGCTCAAGTGGTAGAGCGCTCGCCTTGAGCTGAAGAGCTGAGGGACAGCGCCCAGGCAGTGAGTTCAAGCCCCATGACCAACAAAACAAAAACCAACAAAAGTGGGCTGTCTGTGCAGTAGGCACCTGTAATCCCAGTACCTGGGATACTGAGGCAGCAGAGCCAGACCTCGGGCGGGGCTGAGGGGAGAGGGAGAAAGGGCCTCACACAACCTGCTTCCTTTTAAGTTTACAACCCTGATAATACTGCTTCATACACGTTCAAGACCCATGATCAACCAAAAAAAGGAGGAGGAGGAGGAGGAGGAGGAAGAAAGACAGAAAGGAAGGAAGGAAGGAAGGAAGGAAGGAAGGAAGGAAGGAAGGAAGGAAGGAAGGAAGGAAGGAAGGAAGGAAGGAAAAGGAGCCGGGCACTGGTGCTCACACCTGTAATCCTAGTTACTCAGGAAGCTGAGATCTAAGGATCTAGAATTCAGAGCCAACAGAGAAATCCAAGAGACTCTCATCTCCAAGTAACCAACAAAAGAGCAGGCAGTGGGACTGTGGCTCAAGTGGTAAGCACCAGCCTTAAGAAAACAAAAGCAACTAAGCACAGTTCAAGCCCCAATACACACACACACCTATGCGTTAACAACAACAAAAAATACCAGTAACCCAAATAAAAAGAATGGGCAAATTACTTGAGCAGACCTCTCACCAAAGAAGAAAAACAGCCCACAAGCCTGGATGCTGAGCCATCAGAGCCACACACACGAGTTCCACAAGGAGACTCCTTTCCCTCCCTAGGGTGGCCGGGCTTGGAAGGACAGACAGACAGCTCAAGAGGCCAGGACCCTGCTTTCTTGAGCAGTGTGTAGAGGACAGGAGAGCCCCCCCCCCCGCATTCCCGGTCATCTGCCTTTCCACAGGCTCCCTGGGCAGGCAGCGGTCACCTTCCACAGCTCAGCCACGCGTGGGAAGGAACCACGGAGTCACCACCTACACCGGCAGCATGTGCCCAGTGCAGTCCCCGGCTAGGAAGGCCCAGAGCTCCAACCCCCGAGAACCACAGGGCAGTGGGGAGGGGACAGCAGCCCGCGGGGCAGACCCCAGGGGACCAGCAGGAAGGACAGACTTCCTCCCGCGTGGCTCTGAATGGCGGCTGCAGAAGGCTGGGGCTCCCGCCACACCCACCCGATCTACAGCCTTAATTACACCCCAGTGAAAAGGTGTGTGGCAGAGGGCGGGGAGAGAGGCGGGAGGGAGGGGAGGAGGGAGGGAGGGGAGGAGGGCGGTGGTGGCTGAGAAGAGGGGAGGAAATGCATCCCGCACCACAAGGAACAGAGTAGCTGCACACCCTGAGCTCTGAGAGGACCCGCTGTGAAACTGCTGTAGGATTTTCTTGAAGCACAAGGCACTGAGAAGCTGGGGGGGGGGGGGGGGGGGGGGGGGAATCTACAGGGTTTAGCTGGAGTAAGTCATGGGTAGAAAGCTTCTAGAAGGTTCTCCAGACAGGGTACCCCCCACCCCCAGGACCTCTCCTTTCTCTTTCCTGGCTGCCTTTTGTCCCTCTCTCCCTCTAGGAAGTAAGAGAACCTTCTTCCTGCCCTGAGCTCTGGGCCCTGCAGACACGGATCACGGGAGGGGTGTGGGCAGGAGCCGTGACCGCCATCACCCCAGGAGAGCCAGCGCCGCCCCCCTAAGCGGGCTCTCGGGGAGGAAGGATGGCTGGGTAGCTGTCATCCCAGCTACTCAGGAGGCTAAGAATGGAGGATGGCAGTTCAAAGCCAGCCCCGGCAGGAAAGTCCCTGAGACTGTTCTCTGGTTAAGGGAGAGCTGTGGCTGGAGGGACAGAGTGGCAGCCAGGAGGGGGGAGGGCTCGGGCACAGCACCCAGGCCCTGAGTTCAAGCCCCGGGACTGAGGGATGGGAGGGGAGGCTCGAAGCCAGCGCTTCCCAAACTCACTAGCTCCACACCTGGGCTGCCGCCCAGACCAGCGGAACCAGAGTCTCCGGGCATCAGTACACACACACACACACACACACACACGTGTGTGTGTGCACATGTCTGTGGGGGGGGTGTGTGCGTGTTCACAGGTGATTCTGGGGTGCGGTCCCAGTAATACTACTCCAGGGAGTACCCTGCCTGCCTGGCTCCGGCTCCCAGCACAGAACTCAGGCCAGTCATCCACGCCTTGTAATGGCCTAGGAAACACACCGGGGACACAGAGCACCCGTGGCCGCTGTGGCTGGGTCGTGTCTTATCTAATAGAACCTGAGAACTCATTCTGTGCCCCAAAACGTAACTCAGTTCCCGAGTAAGGATGCAACTCCACGTTCTCATAGTAAACACCTCCTCCCCCGCGGGCCCACGCCGTCATCAGCAGATACGTATTCCACACAAACTGGGTCAGGACGTGTTACTCTCCCACTGTCAATAAATATTTACTGCCTAGCTCCCTACAGATTATATAGTAAGGCGATCAGCCAATAAATATTTATGGGACTGCCAGGCCCTGGTCTAGGGAAATGGAGCAAACGAGGAAATAAAAAGTAACAGACGATGGGGGGGGGGGGGGGCAGGGGGACCGCAAAGATGGGGTTGTTATGGAGACCACGAAGTTTCACAGAACTAGAAGAAACTTGAAAGCTGGAGACTGCTACCTACAGAGGGAAACAGAGCCCTTTACCAAGAAACGCTTGGTTTCCTCCTCTGCCAGAGCAAGGTTAGGGGACTCTCTGGAGGGCAGCCTGGTGGCCATGGGTGAGCTGCAGAGCCTCTGAGTGACAGCAGAGGGCTTGATGGGGGGGGGGGGGGACTGCTGTGGCCTCCCCCCCTCCCCCCCCCTCCCCACCCCCCGCAGGCCACAGAGTCGGCTTCCAGAAGGAGAGGCCTTCTCTGCTCCCCATCCTCCTCCACCCAGGCCTGCGCACCAGCCCCAAGCGGTCAAAACCTCAAGGTGGGGTGGGAGGGGAACGCCAAGGGGGCAGGGGTGAGGACCGGGGAGGGGGTCTATGGAGGAGAGGGGGTAGAGGTTTCTAGAAGGATGTGGGTAACACCTGCCTTCCCTGGCCATCCTAGGTTTCTCTCTCCCAGCTCAGCACAAACTCATCACTGCCGCAGCCCAGCCCCACCTGGCCTAGACAGAGGCCTGGGTTCACTTCCAAAGGCCACCCAGAGCCCAGCGGCGCTGCTGCCCACAGCCGGGCTCCCGCCCTCTCTCCTCGCTGGCTTCAACCCAAGGCCGGGGTTCCTCTGCCCTTCCTGCGGCAGACCACCATGCTGTGCTCCTCCCGCTTCACCTCTGCTGGAGATCGCCTCTGATCACTACCACCGCACGCGCGCGCATGTGTGCGTGTGTGTGTGTGTGTGTGTGTGTGTGTGTGTGTGTGTGTGCTGACGCCGGAACCCAGGCTCAGTATGTATTCTACCACTTCCAACCAACGACCATCTTTAATTAAAAAAAAATTAAATGCCTGTAATCAATCCCCAGAGACGCTGAGAGGTCTCCACTGCTCCCTGCTGCCATCACCTGCTCTCCTTCCCACCCTGGCCCCACCTCTGCAGGGAATCCCTGTGTCAGCTGGGCATGGAAAATGTCGAATGAAAAGAGGAAAGCCTGGAAGCATACTGGAACATGAAACACGACTGTAACAACATAAAATATCCTTAGAAGGCTAAAGACATTACATAAGCACATTTCATGTCTGAAGCCATGTTTGTTTGTTTGTTTGGGGGCCTCGAACTCAGGGCCCAGGTGCTGTCTCTGAGCCTGTGTGTACTCAAGGCTAGCACTCTACCATTTGACCCACAGTACCCCTTCTGGCTTTTTTTTCTGAGTAGTTTAGTGGAGATAAGAGTCTCATGGAGGGGCTGGGAAGGTGGCTCAGTGGTAGAGCGCTTGCCTTGCATGCATGAGGCCCTGGGTTCGATTCCTCAGCACCACATAAACAAAAAGAAAAAAGCCAGAAGTGGCGCTGTGGCTCAAGTGGTAGAGTGCTAGCTTTGAGCTGAAGAGCTGAGGGACAGCACCCAGGCCCAGAGTTCAGGCCCCACGACTGGATCAAAAAAAAAAAAAAGTCTCATGGACTCTCTTGCTGGCTTTGAACCGTGATCCTCAGATCTCAGCCTCCTGAGTAGCTAGGATGACAGGCATGAGCCACCGGTGCTCAGCTGATGTTTATTTTTGTCTTTATGTTTTCCCCAATAATTTCCAAACCTGCAAAAAGCCAACAGAGAGGAAGCGGTGTGATGTCTCAACGCCAGGCAGAAGCTCATGGCAAAATACGGCTCAAAAAACCAAACCAAACCAAAACGAACCTAAGAGCAAAATTCTCCTGAAAAGAGCCAGTGAGGAAGCTGGACTGGGTCTCCAGAAACCTGGCTGAACTGGGGGTGGAGGGTGGGGGTGGGGTGGAGGAGTGTCTTTATAAATGGCAGCTTGTGGTAAATCATTCCGGGGTCTGCAGGGTGCTGATAGCTCCCACCTTACAACTCTAGCTACCCAAGAGGCTGAGATCTGAAGAACTGTGGTTCAAAGCCAGTCCAGGAATGAAAGTGTTCTAAAATGTCCTCTTCAAATGAACCAGCAAAAAAGTGGGTTGGAGGCATGGCTCAGGTGGTAGAGCGCCAGCCTTTAGCAAGTAAGACAGGCAAGTGTGAGGCCCCGAATTCAAACCCTGGTACTGAAACAACTGATGACCATTTCTATGTTGCGGGTGAGCCTGGTCCTCAGCGGCGAGCGAGCGAGCATTGGCGTCCCTGTGGACCCCCGCCGCCCCTCCCCCGGCCTGCACCTGACCCTGGGCAGACCCCACCACCACCACCACCACCACCGGGCCACAGTGGGCGGAGCAGAGGCCCTGGTTCAAATCCCAGCTCTCCGTCTTTGGGGCGGGCCCTGGGAGCTCCACCCCCTCGTGGGTACAAAGCCCTGAAGAGCTTTCTGGAGCTGAGGGGGCCTCAGCGCCCTGCCCAGGCTGCGTGCCCGGAGCTCGGGAGCAAGGGGACACCGTGTGCCCCCAACTCACCCCCCACCCCCGCATCTACCTTTTCTAGAACCAGAATATTTACGCCTTTCCACTCTGCTAAACCAAGCCCTGGGCTACCCAGTCACCCACGCTGGTTTTTTATTGTTCCCACAGTAAACAGGAGCCGAGCTCCGTCCCGCGCGGCCCCCTCGGCCGTGGCCAGCCCCGGGCCCCACTCACAGCACTCGATGGGGTTGGACGCAGTCTGCAGCGAGACGATGCGGCCGCTGGCCTCGGGGATGTGCACGCGGAACACCAGACGCACGCGCGTGTTCTTCCTGCCGATGTCCGTCTCGCCCTTCCGCAGCTCGATGTCCGCATTCCGCAGCTTCAGGATGCCCGCACAGTCGATGCTGCGGGCGGGGGGCGGGCCGGGGTCACACACCACCGTCACCCACCAAAAACAACTGTCCCTGCCACAAGGACGGGCGGCCGGCCAGCCAGGGAGGCTGCCGGGGCTGCCACATACCCCTCCCTGCAAGCCCCAGTCCCAGGCGCACACCAAGTGTCCCGTTAAACACAAAACCGCTGCAGCGCCCAGAGAAGCTCCCCAGCGCCAATCAGTTCTCCGGGGAAATCTTCCGTGCTAAATTGTCCCATTCTCACAAGTTCCCCCCAAAACGAGCCTGCTGCTCACGCCTGTAATCCTGGCCACTTAGAGGCTGAGATCTGAGGATCTTAGTCTATGAGACTCTTATCTGCAATTAACCAGCAAAAAGAAATGGAGCTGTGGTTCAAGTGGTAGAGCACCAGCCTTGAACAAGAAAGCTCTGGGACAGCACTCAGGCCCAGTTCGAGGCCCAAGACCTACACACACCTACAAACAAGTGCCCCCAAACCGAGAACTGCCGTCACTGTGCCACTGTGGTAGAGAAGAGCAGCCTGGGGTTAGGAGACGCGCCCAGTTGTTCAAAGATAAGAGACCCAGCACGTGTGCACTCAGCTCAAAGCAGCCCCGGGAGTGTGGACAAAGGGCGGGGCGGGCATAATCACACAAAGCGATTGCAGGCTCTGAGCCAGCCCGGCCTCCTCGCGCCCTTCTGTTTTCCTGACGCTTTCATGCATTTTCTCAGGAAAGAGTTTTTGGTTTGTTTTTGTTTGTTTTTAACTCCAACTCATGCCTGCATTGCTCCCCTGCTTCTAGACAAAGCAAGCTCTGCAAGCTTCACCTCCTAGTGCCACACGGGACAGTGTCTACCCGCTGCATCCGTATCAAATCTATGATTCACACACCTACCAATAAGACCTCACGCCAAGTGACCTGCTTCAAAGATTCCTAAGTACTCTCCCCGCTAAGATGCATGGAGACATTCTCCCACAGAAGCCGGCTCACGACAGCTCTGTCCACAAGGCTCAGACCCTAGGACCCCAAGCATGGCTGTGTCCTTCCCCTCTGGGCAGTCCTAACCTGAACAAGGCCAGTCCCCAGGTCTGACCCTCCCCAGAGCCCCTGACCACGCCCCCAGGGCTCTGGCCCCACCCTCAGGACCCTAGCCCCACCCCCAGGCCCGCCCCCAGGACTTACGTGGCCCTCATGTTGTTCTTGGGCTCCAAGGGGATCTCCAGGACTTTGGTGTTGCCCACGATCTTCTCGTAGCTGGTGGTGGTGACGGTCTTCCCCGTTATCCGGTGCACCTGGTAGAAGGCGTGCGGCTTCAGGATGCGTTCGTCTGCCGTCCCGATGAAGATCTGCAGCCCCAGAGGCTTGGAGTCCATGTAGCCATGCAGCTGAGAGGAGGGGACAGGACGGAATCGTTGGGGTAGCCAGTGCGCTGGCTGTGTTCTGACCACCGAGATCAGAGGAGAGAACCGGCCGCGTGGCTGCAACACAGCCACTGCAAACAGCTTGGTGGCTCACCGGCACCGGGGACCATGGGTAACCCGCAGGATCCTCCCCAATGTGGAATATTAGGTAGCCAGGAAAAAAAGAAAATATGGGATTTGAATTGCACAGAGGGAGAAATAGCCGTTAGTGGCTTGTCGCTGGCAACTGAGGGTCAGGGCGTGGAGCCGCACAGTCCCGACAACTGAAAAAGGATCTGGAAGCAGGTGGGAGCCCGGGGAGCGTCAGGGAGAGTCACGCACAGCGACACCCGAAGAGGACACTTGGGGGAGAAACACAGGGCCCAGTGCCCGCGCACGCACCTCCGGCCAGATAAAACCACACGTCTGCAAACGAGAGGCTAAATACGCAAGAGTCGACAGGACAATACAGCAATTAACCAGGGTCCACTGGACCATTAAGGAAAAAAGAGCTAGGCCACAGCTCAATCATCTACAGCCGCGCGCCAGTGGCTCACGCCTGTCATCCTAGCTACTCAGGAGGCTGAGATCTGAGGATCGCGGTTCAAAGCCAGCCTGGGCAGGAAAGTCCATGAGACTCTTATCTCCCATGAACCACCAGAACACTGGAAGTGGCGCTGTGGCTCAAGTGGTAGAACACTTGCCTTGAGCTGAAGAGCTGAGGGACAGCGCCCAGGCCCAGAGCTCAGGCCCCACGACCGACTAAATAAATTAACAACTAAAATAAAAGGCCTGAAGAAAGGGAGGGCAGCCTTGAGCCGGCCAGCAGAAAGCTCGCAGAGGACACAGAACAGCGGCACCGAGGGAGCCGGGCGCCGGGGAGCGTGCCGGGCGCCGGGGAGCGTGCCCCGCGAACGGCTTCCTGTCTCCGCCTTCGATCCCACCTCACCGCCCCGGGTGGCCCAGCTCCTGCTGCCTGGGCCTCCCTCCGTGTTCGCAATGAGGAGCCTCGCCATCCTCCACCTCTCGCGTCGGTGATGAAAACCAGGCGGCCCGCTGGCACGCACATGTACACACACACGCATGCATGCACGCACGCACACACGCCCACCACGGTGTCCAAACCACACCAGATTTAGTTCCAATGGCCATAGCCACCACAGGAGACCGAGGAAGCCAGCAGGGCCAGCGCTGGGCCTGCGGACAGAGGGGCCGGACCCCTGTGCCCAGCCCGGGGTCTGTGAACACACACACACACACACACACACACGCACACACACACACACACACACACACAATCGCCCATCCCCCCCTCAGCTTCCTGGGCTCCTCCTCACGTGGGCAGTGACGGCTCTGTGGCCCCCTGGGGCTGGGGGACTCCGGGCAGCAAAGTCCCTCTTGCCCGCCCTTGGCCTGTGGCAGAGATAATGCTACAGAGGGTCGGTTAACTGTATACAGAGACCTTCTCACCCAGCTCCAACCCCTCACTGCAGGTGACAGAATCCAGCACCATCTGGCCTGTGCCTACCTTACCAACTCCACTGGGTCCAGCCACCTGGCTTCCGTGCCTTAGAAACAGGCCAGGGGTGCTTCCTACCCCAGGCCCTTTGCATGTGCTGCTCCCACAGCCTACAAGCATTCTTCCACTAGGTCTTTCCCTGACCACTTCCTCCCGATCCCTCAGGTCTCGGCCTCAGTGCGGGGCCTTCTCTGCGTCGCGGCTCCCAGTGGCTTCCTGTTTGTTTCCTTCCTGACAAGGCTGAGTGTAAGCTCCGCATTATTTGCTTGCGGTCTGTTTCCCCTCCCCAAGGCGGGCGGCCTCTTCCTCACCGAGGCGGCACCGTGAATGGTTCCTGGCAGGCAGTAGGGGCTCAGTAAATATTTGCTGGCTAAATAAATGGGTAGACGGAGGGCAGGTTCTCCACGGCCTGGCGTTCGGAGGCTGACTCATTCCCCGCGCCAGAAAGAGAGAGACAGACAGACAGACAGGACAGAGAGAGGACAGAGAAAGGAGAGAGGACAGAGAGAGGAGGAAGCGGCGGCATACCCTGCGATGTGAGGTGGCGGCAGGAATGCGCATGCCCGGGCAGGGGACACCCCGGGGCCTGGCCAAATGAATTTTACAGCCCTGAGTCTGAGTCGAAAGGACAGTGACTTGGCAGCCTCTGGGGGCCATGAGGAAAGCGAGACACAGACGCGCCACTGGCCTCTGGATACTGGCCGGGATGGGGAGACGTGGGGGGGGGGGGCGGTCCCCAGGGGCTTGGCACACGGGCTGACCCAGCCAGCCGGAAACGGCAGCTGCTCGGCCACGCCCCTCCGGAGGCGGGCACATCTGGGCACATCTGGACAAGGCCCAGGCTCCGGCCTCTGGCCTTTCACGCCGCCCACACCTGGAAGGGGCTGGGGGGGGGCAGGACTGAGCCCCCTCCCCCAGAGCCGCCCGAGAGCTCGGCCATGGCCGCCCCAAGAACCCCTTCCCGGCCCCACTCCGGGATCCTAAGATCCAACTTCTCGGATCCAACCCCACCATGGCCTCCACATGCATGAAGAACTTAGCTCAAACACGCAGCCTGCCCAGCCCTGTCTCCCAGGACTCCACCTCCTCTCTGTCTGCTACTTTCCTTATACCCAGTCAGCTCCCTCTGCCTCAGGACTTTGCACGCGCATGGCTGCCGACCCGCTAGGCTCCTTCCTGAAAGCCTCATTGCTCCAGATGCCCGCAGTGCTGGTCTGGGCCTCTGGGCCTCCCCTCCCCCCCAGGCCTCTGCCCCCCCCAGCACAGCCCTCAGCGGAGGTACAGGGCACAGACTCCCCCCGCATGAAGACCGGTGCGCCAGCCCCATGCCACACGATGTGGCTCCAGCGGTGGCCGCTCTGCGTGTGAGCGACCTGAGGACCTGGAGGTCTGCGTAAGGGGCGTCGCAGGCGACCTGCCGCTCCCCCTCCCCGGCTCCCTGGGATGGGTGTGGGCCACGGAGCCCCCCAGCTCCCCACCGGCCTGCAGCTCCCCCTCCCCGGCTCCCTGGGATGGGTGTGGGCCACGGAGCCTTCCCACCCCGCGCTCCCCACGGCCTTTCCCCTTCCAAGCAGCACCCTGACCCCAGCGGCATCTGGACCCCTTTGCCCTGCATTCAGCCAAGGAGCCGTGGCAGAGCTTCAGGGAGTTCGGGGGGGGGGGGGGAGACGCTCGCCCAGCGAGGCAGAGGCCCCCCCCCCCCTCCGTCTCCCTTCCTCAAATCCCACTGCCTGAGATGCAGGTGTGCTGGCTGGAGCTCCAGCAACGGCTCGTGGCCCTGAGGTCCCCAGGCCGACACCTCTACGCTCCCGGCAGCCAGAGCTCCGGAGCCTCGGCGTCACGTTGGTGCTACCGAGGCCCCTGGGGAGGGCATCCGGCAGAGGCAAGCGTGGAGAGGCTCAGAGAGGCGGGCCGGCTCCCGGCTGCACACTGGCCGGCTCCCGGCTGCACACTGGCCGGCTCCCGGCTGCACACGGGCCTCTGTGGGTGCTGAAGGACCGTGCCCGAGGGGCGGGGAAGCGGGGAGAAGCCGCCGCAGTCTGACTCTCCCCGGGGGGTGACGATGGAACTTGCTAGAAATAAAATCTCTGCTCACCGTCTGTCTGGCTTCCGAATGGCTTTTTCCTCGTGCCAAGGCGCCAGGCCTGGCAGCCGTGGAGAGGCCGCGGCGGCGGCTGGCGGAGCGGGCAGCGTCTGTGCGGCCGGCGTGGGGGGAGGGGGCTGGCGGTGCGGCCCCTCGGGGGTCGAGGACCCACGTGACCCCCCGAGGCCAAGGCCTGCTCAGGCCGGCCGCATCCGGGCACCTGGGCAGCTCGGCCCCGGGCGCTGGGGACAGAGCCCGGCCCTGGCCTTTGCATACACGGGATCAGAGAGGTCAAGGAGGCTGCCCGGGGTGCCCAGCACAACAGGAAACCCAGCCAGGCTGCCCGAGGCAGGGGTCTGGACCCTACTTCCTACCGGGGAGGCCCAGGCGGACCTGGGACCCCAGGCAGGGGCAGCCCACGCTGGAAGCCCCACGCACGCCAGGGTGTCGGCCAGGGGACGGCGTGAGACTGGAGGCCGGCTGCTGCGGGCTGTGCACAGTACGACCAGCCCCATCCGGCCTGCTCCGGCCCAGCTGTGGCTCAAGGGGTAGAGCGCCACACAGCTCCTAGATGGTGCCCGGGCCCTGGGTTCGAGCCCTGGGAACGCTCCTCCCCTCCCCGGGAAAGCACTGCACACTGAGCCCCAAACGCATGCAGCCCACCCTGGCCCCCCGAGCTGCCTGGCCCCCCCCAAGCTGCCCGGACCCCCCAGCTGCCCGGACCCCAGGAGGTGAGGTCAAAGGGCACGGGCGGGGGAGAAGGGAGGGGGGAAGGCACGAGGCTTCTTTCCCCTCTCCCTCCCTGCCGTCCTCCGTCTGCCCCAGAGTCGGGGGAGGGGAGGGAGGGCTTGGCGGGGGCTGAGGAGCAGGTGGACAGCTGGGCAAAGGCTGAGGGACTGCGTTCCTACGGAAAGACCAAGGCAGATGTTTGGGGGGTGTTCCCACTCTTTTACACAACTCGGGGGTCACTGCCTGCTGACCTCCGCTGTGGTGCAGACTGCAGGAGGCCCCTCTCCCTCCTCTTCTTCCCCTCCCCCTCCCCCTCCCCCTCCTGTCAGAGGTGGAGGCAGGGACGCTGGCCTGGCCTGGCCCATGGCTCCAGCTTGGTTTCCCGGTCTTAGGTCATGGCAAACCCCCTGGGAAACCTAAAAACCACACTGGCTGTCAACACTGAACTCTGCGCTGCTGCCGCGGCCTGTGTTCTGAGGCCAGGCCCACCTTCAAGCAAGCTCCGGCCCCAGGGCCTTTGCACTGGCTGTTTCCCCTCTGCCCCAAGATACGGGCACGCAGAACTCTCCTCAACTCCCACCCCTTTGGGAAGTTCTCCTCGGAACAGCTCCCCGTCACCCAAACAGCCCTCTGCCACCTGCGGTCACCTCCGCCCCTACTGCACCCCTCCTGCTGCATGTTCTGTTTTGTGTTTTAACCACACAGCAGAATGTAGAGCTGGATGCTATCTGAAAACCACAGGAGAGTGTGTTCTGCCCAGCCCATCTGTATCTCTGGACAAGATCGTGAACACTTGGGGCCCCCAGGGCCTTGGGGTGTCTAGGGCAGGGGCTTGGAAGAGCCCAACATCCACACAAACTGCCTGAGAGCCACACACAGAGGCTGCCTCAGGAAGCAGCCATGAGACCTGAATCCTGCCATCGCAGCACACTCCCAAGGTCATCCCTGGACGGAATCAAGCAGCTCAGCTTCTTAGCATACTCTAGCTGACGCTACTACTGACGCACACCTGTAATCCTAGCTATGGAGGAGGCTGAGTCCTGGAGGACGGCCATGGGGAGCCAGCCCCGGCAGGAAAAAAAATCCCCAAGACACTGTATCTCCAGTGAGCCAGCACAAAGGTGGCCTGGAGGCATGGCTGATGGGGTTGAGCACCAGCTGTGAGCAAGCCGAGCGAGCGTGCGGCTCTGAGTTCTAGCAACAGCCACAGAAGGGGGGGGGGGGGGCCCAGAGCCTTTGGAAACAGGTCTGGGAGGCAGTAAACACGAGCTAGGCCCCCGGGCTCGACTGTGTGACCTCACACGGTCACCTAACTTCTCTGGGCCTCCAGGACCGGGGACCTGGCCCTGTGCACCCCGTCCCCAGCACCACGTGACCTTCACCAGCCCCGCCCCTTGCTGTCATCAGGATGACCCCGAAGAATGCAGAGGTCAAGTGGCAAGCAGGTCACCCCGGAAGGGACCCAGTGACGCCCACCACGGCCCCCGGCACAGACAGGGGCCCGCCGAGGCCCTCTGACCCACCAGCTGCAGGAACGCCGGCTCTCCCACATTCTGGAAGCTTCCGGCACACAGCCAACATGCAAGGGGAGTGGCCCCTGCCACTTGTCTCTCTCCTCGGCTCGGGTGTTTGGAGATGGGGTTCTCATATGAACCCGGGCCTGGGACTCAGCCTCCTCCCGTCATGCTGGGACTACAGGCTAACCCTGTCACACTGAGCGACACCTGGACGTGAGGAGAAGCAGCCCCAGACACAGCCAGACACCGCCATAGACACAGCCCTAGACACAGCCCAAGACACAGTCCCAGACACAGCCCCAGCCCTAGACACAGCCCTAGTCACAGCCAGACACAGCCCCAGACACAGCCAGGCACAGCCCTAATCACAGCCAGACACAGCCCCAGACATCGCCACAGACACAGCCCTAGACACAGCCAGACACAGCCCTAGACACAGCCCTAGACACAGCCAGACACAGCCCCAGGCATCGCCACAGACACAGCCCTAGACACAGCCCTAGACACAGCCAGACACAGCCCTAGACACAGCCCTAGTCACAGCCCCAGACACAGTCCTAGACACAGCCAGACACAGCCCTAGTCACAGCCCTAGTCACAGCCCCAGACACAGCCCCAGACACAGCCAGACACAGCCCCAGACTCAGCCAGACACAGCCTCAGACACAGCCAGACACAGCCCAGCCCAGCCCCAGTCCCCAGGGTGTCTGGGCCACGCCCTCTCTCTTCACTAGGACCCTTTCCCGGTCCCCCCTCCACCAGGTTGAGTTTTCCTATCCCTGGATGCAGCGTGGTCTGGCCCCCCTAGATGCTCGGAAGGGCCACTGCGTGCCGGCTTTGGCTGTGCGCCTCACACAAGACGGAGTCTCGGTGAAGATCTCCACTCCAGCCACGAGCGAGCCTTCGACCCTCAACTGCCCCCAGGCCCCGCAGGCCTCCACCAGGCCCCCACTTCATCCCTCCCCACCCCGAGGCCCCGCAGGCCTCCTCCAGCCCCCCACTTCATCCCTCCCCACCCCCTGAGGCCCCAGCGCATCCCCATCCTCACAAACGGGCGCCAGCAAAGCCCTGCCCTAGCCATGGCTCCGGGGGTGCAGGGAACACCAGGGCTGAAGGAAGCGGGGCACGGGGCGCAGTCCTACAGCCCCGGCGGCTGAACCTCAGCGGAGGGGCATGGGCTGCGCGCACATCATTCAGTTTCCAGTGAAGGAGTGAATCTGGGCGTGTCATGAACACTGAGCTGAGCACCAAGCCCCTATCATGGAGCAATTCCACTTCAGGCAAACAAACAGTGACATTCATTTAAATCTGCCCTGCCAAACATTCTGGGTAACAGGCGGGCACCCCGTTAATCGTACCCAACAATCAATTTGTGCGTGTGTGTATGTTGGTCATGGGTCTTGAACTTTGGGCCTGGGCGCTGTCCCGCAGCTCTTCAGCTCAAGGCTAGTGCTCTACCACCAGAGCCACAGCGCCACTTCCAGTTTTCTGGTGGTTCATGGGAGATAAGAATCTCAGGGACCGTCTTGTCTTGCCTGGCTGGCTTTGAACCGAGATCCTCAGATCTCAGCCTCCTGAGTAGCTAGGATGACAGGCGTGAGCCACCACGCGCGGCTGACCATCCATGTTTCTACTGTAATTATTTAGAGGTTTTCATCTGCTTATTTGGGGGGAAATTTTTCAAGTTAGATAGAAATCCATAGACATAAAGGACATTGATTAGGGGTGGAAAACAGAAAGAAACACTCCTGAGCCTGCAGCTGAAACCGAGTACCAAGGCCACGCTCCATATAGCATCACGTATTTAAATATGGAGGAATGGAGAGGAAGCGGATAAAACAGCAGGATGGCGGGCGCCGCTCTCTCACACGTGCATGGGCCCACCAACCCTCCAAGAGCGCCAAGAGCAAACTCCCTGCGTCCCAGCTGTGAAAGCCCCGCGGCGAACACCCAGCACCAAGGGAAGAAGGCCCCGCGTACAGCCCTGAAGCGTGGGGTGGGCCTGGGCAGGGGCCCCGGCGGCCCAGTCCATACCTGAACCACGGGGTGGCCCCCGGTGGGAGCCTTCACGGCGCCTCGGCTGCCCTCGGTCTCGTAGTGGGCGCGGTGGTGGGGCTTGGGCTGCACCTCGATCCGCAGCTCGTAGGAGCCCGCCTGGCTGGACAGCGGCCACTCCAGCGGCGGGAGGGAGGCCGTCACCGGGATGCTGGAGGGAGACGGGAGGTCAGTGGAGGGCGCACCACCAGCCCTCCACTACACCAAACGTAAATGGCCCCTTTTCTGCATATCAATGCTGGGTTGCTGAGCAGATACCTGAGCTCTTTTTTTTTTCAATCGTATTTGGTTTAATTTTAGATCCACAATGTAATTCTTTAAACCATAATGTTTTTACTTATGTTTCACCTACACTGTTTCTCCAAAGCCTTTTTGGTTTCTGTGTACGTGGTGCTGTGGAATTGAACCTGGGCCTCACGCATGCTAGGCAGCATGCTAGGCAAGCGCTCTACCGATGAGCCGCCTTCCCAGCCCCCACTCGCGTGATCTCTGCTTCCTCTTTCATCCTGACAAAGACAGGACACGGGAAGCTAATGCCACTCTGGGCCAGCTCTAGCGTGTTTCTAGCCGCCATGGATACTCGGGGGATGGTGACAAGCTATACCTCCTACCTCCCTCTCAAGAAAACCTGCTCTGGGCACTGGTGCTCACTCCTGTAATCCTAGCTACTCGGGAGATCTGAGGATGCGCTCAGAGGCCAGCAGGAGAGAGCATGACCCTCTGGTCTCCAATTAACTGCCAGGAAAAGGAGGGAAGTGGGGCTGATGCAGTAAAAGGCTAGGCAAGAGCGTGAGGCCCCGAGTTCAAGCCCCAGGACTAGCCTGCGCACACACAAGGAAAGTGAAAGTGCTCTATTTCCTGTAATGCAGTATGTATCCTATGCACATGTGTGTATCACACGCAGACCTTTCTTGTAGTGGTATTTCAGCCAGATGTAGTTAAGCACTTAGGCAGATTCGGTTAAGCACTTAGGAAGACTCGGTTAAGCACTTGTGAAACTTGGTTAAGCACTTGCAAAGACTCGATGGAGCAGGTAGGAAGGGGCTACTTCTGCCCCCTCCTATCCTGATGCAGGGGAAGAGGCAGAGGTGAGGAGCCCGTCCCCACCCCATCAGTGCCAGGACCCAGCTTCCAACTACAGCCTCGCCTGCCAGAAAACCTCGAGCCCACCTGCCTGCCACTGCCTCCCAAGCCGCCCTCAGCCTCGATCTCCACCTCAGTGGCCGCCCAGGAGTCTCCTAAGCTGCTGCGTGGGGCCAGTGAGCCGTGCGTGCGTGGGATTCTATTCCTTCTATCATTTGTGCATGTTGGAAACTGTGCTAAATTCAAAGTTTGCAATATAAAGCCAAGCGACCCTGTCTGCCACGCCACAGCACATCAAACAGAATCAAAGCCTTGCCGGACATCGGTGGCTCTGCCTGTCATCCCAGCCACTCAAGAGGCTGAGATCTGAGGATTGCGGTTTGAAGCCAGCCCAGGCGGGAATGTCTGTGAGACTCATCTCCAATAAACCACCAGAAAACCAGAAGTGGTGCTGTGGCTCAAGTGGGAGAGCGCTTGCCTTGAGTGAAAAAGGTCAGGGACAGTGCCCGGGCCCTGAGTTCAAGGCCCACGACCAACAAAAAGTAAAATAAAAATATAAAAGACTCAAAGCCTTCCGGTGAGCAGAGGCCTGGCTGAGATGGCCGAGCACCAGGTGAAGGTCTCAGTTGTCTGCCGTAGGGGCGGGGTATGGAGATGCGGTCCCCTGGAGCACACCCCAAGGCTGCCCACGCCCTGTGTCTGAGCCACCCACAGCTTCCTGGTGGCCTACGTGTTAGTGTGACCCCCCCTCCCCAAAGTCATTGTGTCCGTGGTCTCTCACTGGGGGACCCAGAGAGCAACCAATCAGAAGGGAGAGGAGACTGGAGAGGCGTGGCTGCTGCCCTTCCTTCCCAAGGCCCTCTCTGGTCAGAAAGCCCAGATGGCAGGTGTGCACAGCCACACCCGGCCGGGAGAGGCTCACGGACTTCTCACCCAGGCTGGCCTCCAACCTGGATCCTCTGGGTCAAGCGGCAGGGATGGGAGGCGTGCACCCCGTGCCCGGCCCCGGCCTGGACGGCCCGAGGACCGGCCCACTCACCTGCAGATGGGGATGGCGGGCACCAGCTGCTTGGGCCAGGCGGGGGGCACCAGCAGGATGGACTCGGGGGGCGGGTTCCCCCGCTCCTCCTGCTCGCAGGGGCCGAGGAAGTCGGAGGGGTAGAGAGGCCGGGGCGGGCCGGCCTTGGCGGGCTCGGGGCCGATCTTCCACATCTTGGACGGGGTGCCACAGGGCGGCGAGTCGGCGGCCAGGCTGCTGAGGGCGTCCATGAGGCCGGCGGCGGCCGGGCCGCCCGCGGGGTCCCGGGGCGAGGGGCTGGGCGCGCGCGGGGCCGGGCCGGGCGGCGCGGCGCCCGCGGCCGGGGCGCAGGGGTGCGGGCGCTTGGCGCCCGGGGAGGAGGAGCGGGAGGCGGCGCGCGGCGCCGGCGAGCGGCGGCCCAGGCAGCTGTCCTCGGCGAGGCCCGTCCGCGGCGACATTACGGGCGAGGCTCTGGAGGAATAACGGGCGGGGAGGCTTTGGAGCTGCGGGCACAGCTCGTCGGGCCCCCCGCCGCCGTTCGGGGAGACGCAGGGCGAGGTGTAGGGGGAGAAGGAGTCGGACAGGAAGCTGGCGGACGAGCCGCTGCTGGCGGGGCTCAAGCAAAGCGGCTCGCGGTAGCCCTCGAAGCCGGGCACGGGCAGCGTGAACCGGGGCGCGGCGGGGCCCTGCTCGGGCGGCGGGTCCGGGCCGCCGGGCCGCGCGGCGCCCGCCTGCAGCAGCTCGTGGGACGGCGTGATCTCGATGCGCGGGCTCGGGCCCGACGCCCCCGCCGGCCTGGCCGCGCTCAGGAAGTCGGGGGGCGCCCCCCCGGCGGGCTCCCGCCCGGGCTGGAGGCCATAGTCCAGGCGGGCGTCGGGGCCGGAGAGTCGGGACAGCGGGCTGGCCGCCTGCCGGGCGCTGGGCTCCTCTGCAAAGACAAGGGCGCTTTAAGGCTCCGCACGGGCCACGCCGGGGTGCGGGGCTCGCGGGGGCGGGGGGACCCCTCACACACACACGCGCGTGTGCACACACACACACACCTGCGCCGGGCTCGAGCTCAGGACCTGGGCGCCCGTCCCCGAGCGCTGGCGCTCAAGGCCCGTGCTCTGCCACTTGAGCCACGCGCGACCTCACTCCCAGCTTTCTGGGATTGCTCCCAGGTAAGAGCCTCACGTGTGGACTGTCCTGCCCGGGCTGGCTTTGAACCCGGATCCTCTGACCTGGGCCTCCTGTGTAGCCAGGATGACAGGCGGGAGCCACCGGCGCCGGCCCTGCCGGTGCGGATGGAACCCGGGGCGTCCGGCGACCCCCTGCCCCCAGCGGCTCAGCCACAGCCCGACGGCAGCTTCGTGTGTCCTCTCTCCTTCAGAGACCCCCAGCTACTCCCCCAAAACTCCCTCCATGCCTGCCCTGCCGGCACCTCCACGCTGCCCCCTCCAAAGCCCATCTCTGCCCCAGCTCACCCCACAGCAGCTCACTCCCTGCTCCGGGGACCCGTCCTGCCAGGCCAGGGGCGGCGTTTTAATGAAATCCAGCCCTGCCTATTGGCTCACTCAGGGCGGGGAGCTGTGGCCTGGCCCACAGGGCCCACGACCTGAAACATCCACTCGGGGCCCTGGACAGCCTCCGATGACCCCGTGTGCACTCCAAGCTCTGCCAGGGTCAGCTCCTGTCCTGGAAGCCGGGCGGACCCCCGGGCTATCCTCCACCTCCCTATGCCCTTCCTGGGCCGCCCTAGAGGCCGCACGGAGCTGACCACAGACCTCGCCATGTCTAGATGTCCCCCCATTCCAGCAAGAGTCCCCACAAGAGACGAGAGCTTCTCACAGCTCTTAATGGCAAGTATGGTCGCCGAGGCTAGGTGGCCTTTTCCAGGCTGAGCCTACCTAACCTCCCTCTCCTCAGACTGCAGCTGAGGGAGCGCATCCCATCCCTGCCCGCCCCAGGACCTTTGTACTTGCTGTTCCCACCATGTCATCAATTCCTCCCACCACCCCCCACCTCTCCATGACTGAAAACCTCTCAGGCCCACAAGCCCAGCTAAGACGCCACCTGCTTCTAGAGCCTTCCTGACCTCCCTGCCTAGCTCAGGGCCCTCCCGGGCGTATCCGCCCTGTGCTTGGTACTTCTTACTATTTTAATTAAGGGACCGTGGAATGATCAGCTTATGGCCGGCCGCCTCTCTCCTAGCTCATGAGTAAATGCCACACAGTACCCGTCTAGGGCCAAACCAAGCAGGCGCTCAAACGCCACTGGGGTAGCGGGCGGGGGGAAGGGCATCATTCAAGGGCAGAAAAGCCGGCGTGGAGCGAACGCATCCTCCAAGATGCCAGCAGCACCATGGCATCTCGGGAGCCGCTCCCGGCCATCGCCATCCCACACCGCTGCCCAGGCCCAGGCTGCAAAGCGGAGGGGGGCGGGTGCCCACCGGCGTCCCATGTCCCGTGAAGCCTGGAAGCAGCGGGGGGGGGGGGGGGGTGCGTGGCCTGCGGCTGCTTTGCCCAGGGTGGGAAGTCACATAGGGTGAGGGCGGCGGCCGGGCTGTGGGGAGCAGAGGGGGGTGGGAGGAGGGCACGGGAGCGGTTGGCTACCATGGCCCGGGGCAGGCTCTCTCCAGAACCTTCTGGAACAGCAGCTTCCCTCAGGAAGAGGGACTGAGGAGCTGGGAGATGGGGTGTGATATGGAGAAAAGAAACACGGTTCCTCGTTTTGTGGATTTGACGTGGGGCGTGGGGGGGAGCACCACGCGGCACAGGACAGCGAACCGCGGGCTCCTCGACCCAACGGGGGGCTGAGATGCTCGGCTGCCCCTCCTCTGCCTAGCTCTGGGGCAAAGCCTCCCGCCCCACCCCACCCCAGCTCCAACCAAAGGAAAAAATACCTAACTTTAGCAGGAAAGCTGCGTCTTGGGCTGGGAAAGATCCGGAAATCCAGCCATGGGAGCTGCGGGGACAGCCGGGCCCACGGGCTGGGCGGCGGCGGTGGACGCTGCCTTTCATGAATCCGCTCTCACGCTCCTTTTCCCACTTCCCCGCCCAACGTCTGCCCGTGGCCGGGTCCTCTGCCGGGCTGGGGAGGTGCCCGTGGCCGGCTCCTCTGCCCGCTGGGGAGATGCCCGTGGCCGGGTCCCTCTGCCCGCTGGGGAGGTGACCGGGAGCTGTCGTGCTGCGCATCTGACGGCCAGTTTCGCAAGGCTGAAAATGCCTTGCTGTTTCAGAAGCCCGGGAAGGGGCGGGGGGGGGGAGGGGGCGCTGGCGCCCCTCCCCAGGGCCCCCCACGGCGGGGCTGATGTCACCGCATCCCAGAGCCACCCAACTTTCTCGGGGAAGATTCCCCGAAGCTCCTTCTACCACCTGCCTGGCCTCTACCGGCCCTGCACCCAGGGACACGCCAGGGGTCCCCTTAGATCTCCATCCCAACCTGCTCCCATTATCCGGCGTTTTCTTTTCCAAGGGAACGCTGCTGCACCGCTGCCGGCTGGAATGGAAAATCCTGGTCACCCCCACGAGCGGATGGTGAGGGCAAAGAAATCACCGTGGCACTAGAAATGGCGAAACTCAAGCGAGGTGCAGGGCCCCGAGCCCAGCCGGCCTTCTTCCCATCCTGTCCCCGCTGGGCTACTTTTTCTTTTAACTGAGATAGAACTCATGCTCCCCGATGTTGAGCCCAAGCGGGATACATCCCTTCAAATGGAACGCATCCGACATTCCATCTGACCCCACAGTCTGTCTGTCCGTCTGTGTGCCCACATGGGAGGAGGGCAGAGACTTGGAAATGAAGGCATAGGACAGATTCCACACCACACACCTGACCAGCTCAGGGCGGCAGCTCGGGACAGCGCCTCAGGGGCGCCGGCCGGCCCTGGGGGCCTCAGGACCAAAAAGGAGGGCGGGGCAGAAGCAGGGGGGAGGGGGGACCGTGGGGGGGGGATCAAGATCCTCAGCACCTCTAGGCTTCGCACACGCGGTTCCCCTTGCTGCCCTTCCCCTCCCCAGCCGTACCTGCGTGACCGGGCCGCACAGGTGCCTCCCGTAGGCCCTGCGTGCGAGGAGACCCTGCCGAAGCCCCCGGCCCACAGCTGGGCCGTCCCACCGCCGAGCACACGTGCGGGCGCCGGGCACGTGCTCCCCTCCCGCACCGATGGGAACCTGAGACGCAGACCCACAGACGGGTCCTCCTGGGCCACCACGCGGCCTGCTGCGTCCCGGCTCCAGGATGGCACTGGCCTATGAGGGTGTGGGGAGCCCCGCGGCCACGCCCACAGGGGCGGGTCCAGCGCTCCCCATCAGAGGCCCACACGCGGACCCCGGGGGGCCGGACTGTGCCGGCCTCGGCCTCAGCCTCAGCCTCGGCCCCGCTGTGACTTGGAGATGGGGGGGATACCACAGCCCCACGGGGGACAGTGAGGAACGCAGGGCCTTGCGCTTGTCCACGTAAAACCCAACACACAGAAGACACGCGCCGTGGACGTGGGCGCGAGCGCTCGGACGAGCACCCCACGCCCGCTCCGGACTGTCCTGCCCGGGCTGGCTTTGAACTGCCATTCTCAGACCTCAGCCAGACGACAAGAGCGAGCCACGGACTCCCAGGTTCCAAAAACATTTCTTTCGTAAGGATGATTTTTTTGTTGTTGTTGTTCAGTCCTGGAGCTTGAACTCGGGGCCTGGGCGCTGTCCCTCAGCTCTTCAGCTCAAGGCGAGCGCTCTACCACTTGAGCCACAGTGCCACTTCCAAGATTTTTTTTTTAATGAAAATAAAATGACCAGCCCTTGGGTGTTTGTTCTGCTGGCCGGGGTGCTGAGATCAGAGGAAGATGGAGTCCTATCCCACCACCCTCCCTTCCCCGGCTACATATTCTGCATCCTGTCTATCTAGATCAACTAAGTCTTACTGAAGTGTGAATGACTCAGTGAGCTACTCATCATAAGCAAGGTAGTAATAGCCAACACGTCTGCACTATGTGCTTTACCCAACATGCACTGTATCCTACCGTCTGTAGGAATATGTTTATGTTGCAAGAGCCCTACAGTGCAGTAAAGCAGCTGTCTCATTTTTCCAGTAGGGGAAACGAGGCTCAGAGAGGCTAAGTCATTACCCCACAGTCACACAGCTTCTCAGCAGCAGTGGCAGCAGCACCAGCACGGGAACTCAGGCTCAGGCAACCTGGCTGCTCACTCCACCCTCTCCCCAGCACTGCACCCCACTTCCAATGAAAAGGGCTACTTCCTGGATGGGGTTGTCAACCCCACACAGCTCCTGGGGCAGAAGCCCCAGGACCGTCAGTGAAATGGCACTCAGCCATGGCCTCCCCTCCACCGCCTCTGCCAGCCCGCTGCCCCCGCTCCCCCTGCCCACCACGACCCTCAGCCAGGCCCGGGGGCCGTGTGGTGCCAGCCCACCCACCGGCTAATGGATGCTTCTGAAAAAAGGAAGGGTGGCAAGGAGCAGCCGCTCTGTCTGGAAGTGCGGGTGGGCAGAACTTTCCGGAAGCAGAACGGGATGACCAAAATAGAAAGGCGGCTGGGGAGCCTCGGTGAGGCGCCTGCCCTGGGCGCGGGGGGGGGGGGGGGGGGGGCACCGAGGTGGGGGCAGGATGCCCGCAGGCCGCAGACACAGCCCCCCCCCGGCCTGGGGCTCAGCACACCTCGGTCTGTCACCGTGGCAACGCTCGGGAGGCCACAGCCTGGCACCTGAGCAATTCAAGGCACAGGAGAAGGGCCCCCACCGCGGCCCGGCCAGCTCCAGCCCAGAAGGCGGCGGCCGGCGGCACCTGGCCAGCCTGTGGGGAAAAGCCACTGTCAAAAGCGAGAAAGAAAACAATGTGACACTCGGTGCACTTTCCACGCAGCCCCCCACGCCTCCCCTGCCACGCGCACACTCTCGCACACACGCACACGCAGGGCGTCAAGTGTGCTCACAAGGAAGATC